AATAAAGCCTTTCTGGCCCCCAATGAGGCGTTCCTTCCCGACTTTTTTGGATCAATCAAACAGACAGTGGCTTCTTTTGATTAAAGCCCAAATTGTCATTGGGCAGAGGCAATCATGTGACAGCCAATTCGGTCCAATTTCAACCTTGTCTCCATGAATTCAATAGTTTAATAGTAGCACGGTCCCCATACGGCTGTAATCAGTGAATTAGAAAAAAAACACCCCACCAGCGATCTTCTATGATCTATTTTTTTCTTCTCTCTCTCCTTTCGCCCGGGCCTTCCCCCCCAACAGCCCCCGAAATCAGAGGGAACTTTTTCTCCAAGGGGGCTGCGAGTTGAAGGCCATGAATTTCGAATTTGAGCGAGAGATTGGTTTTATCAATAGTCAGCCATCGCTTGCTGAGTGCCTGACATCTTTTCCCCCTGTCGGTGATACATTTCAAAGTTCATCAATCAAGAACTCGACGCTTTCACACTCGACACTGATTCCTCCTCCTTTTGAGCAGACCATCCCCAGCCTGAACCCAGGCAGCCACCCTCGCCACGGCAGCAGCAGCCGCCCCAGGCAGAGCCCCAATGGCAGCAGCAGCAGCCCGGTGCCAACGGGCGCCCTGCAGCCTCCGGAGTACCCCTGGATGAAAGAGAAAAAAGCCTCCAAGAAAACTGCCCTCCCGCTCGCCACGGCCTCAGCCTCCGCCACTGGACCAGCCTGCCTGAGCCACAAAGGTCAGTTCAAAGACTTTCCCTCTGGATCTGCTGGATTTTCCCCAGCTGAACTGGGAGGCACTGGAAATGGGTTGGCGGAGGAGGAGGGAAGGCGCTGGCGGGCTCCACCGTGCTCTGAAGCCCCCCAACTTTCCCCAACTTGTGTAATGCGGGATGATTTATTTGAGTTGGAGCTGACCTCCCCTTGTCTTGCTGTCCTAGAGTTAGGATATTTGACAGTAATGAAGAGTGATAGATTGCTCTTGCTCAGCTAAGCAGCTGATGCATTAATTATAAATTGTAGTATGGCTAATATAAAGTTTGCTCTGGTGTGGGGAGGTCTGGGAGCGAGGTGCGATGATTTTATTGAAGGGGAAAGGGATCCACAGCACCGGGCGCATAGGAGAGCAACACAATGGATTTACTGCATCCAGGGGCGGCCATTTTGTTGCAGTTGATATTTTATGCTATATATACCTATATATTTCCCCCCTCGCGGAGTGGAGGGCGCCTGGGGGTTGCGATCCAGCCCGTGCATTTATCTGGTGTTGTTTGTTTGCCTGTGTGCTTGCTTTTTGCAGACTCCCTTGAAATCCCCGATAGTGGGAACGGTGGCTCCAGGAGGCTGAGGACGGCTTACACCAACACCCAGCTCTTGGAGCTGGAAAAAGAATTTCATTTCAACAAGTATCTCTGCAGACCGAGGAGAGTCGAGATCGCAGCCTTGCTGGATTTGACTGAGAGACAAGTCAAAGTCTGGTTCCAGAACAGGAGGATGAAGCACAAGAGACAGACCCAGTGTAAGGAGAACCAAAACAGTGAGGGGAAATTTAAGAGTTTAGAGGACACAGAGAAAGCAGAAGAGGAAGAGGAGAAATCCCTCTTTGAACAAGCCCTCAATAATGTCTCAGGGGCTCTTTTGGAAAGGGAAGGTTACACTTTTCAGCAAAATGCACTATCTCAACAGCAGGCTCAGAATGTACACAATGGAGAGTCCCAAAGTTTCCCAGTTTCGCCTTTAACAAGCAATGAGAAAAATCTGAAACATTTTCAGCATCAGTCACCCACTGTTCAGAACTGCCTATCAACAATGGCCCAGAACTGTGCAGCTGGCCTGAACAATGACAGTCCTGAGGCCCTGGATGTCCCTTCTTTACAGGACTTTAACGTTTTCTCCACAGATTCCTGCCTACAGCTTTCAGATGCAGTTTCCCCCAGTTTGCCAGGATCTCTGGACAGTCCTGTAGATATCTCTGCTGACAGTTTTGACTTTTTTACAGACACACTCACCACAATTGACTTGCAGCACCTGAATTACTGAGAAAAGTCAAGACCTCATCTCGCCAAGGGTTCTGCCTTCCTTTTTGAAATGACTTAATTTTATTTTCCTTTTTCCTGGTCAGTATTTTCTGTTTCTTAATTCCCTTTGCTGTGTCGGAGAGCCATTTTACCGTTTCTTATGGAGTTTTAGTTGTGTCCAGTTTAACCTAGCCACATCCTAGGTCCTTCTATGAAAGCAATATCTGAGGCCTGTAAGAAAGTGATCATATAGAATTGTATCGTCACTTTCTTTTTATTTTTGTATTGCATTAGGATGCGTTGTCATAAGTATTTTTGGTAGAATAAATTCTTGTTTGCTACAAGTAGCTTTCTCTTTTTCTTCCACCCTCTCTCTCCCTCACCACTGGTAATCTAACGGGTCTGCTGCTGCTGCTGCTTTTTTTCCTCCTCCCTCTCCTAACCTAACTTCGGAAATAAAATTAAACAATCCGCTCACAACCTCTCTCCTTTTGGTAACGTGACATATTTATTAGAGAGAAAAAAGCACATTCCAATTCTTTATTGAAAGGATTCTTACAAGCAATAATAATTATTAGTATAAAGCCTGCGCTCAAAGCTTACACGGTTACCTCCTTTTAACCTGGGCATATATAGAAGAGCTTCTATTATCTGCGTGTGAATACAAATTTCGGGTTTTCTAAACTGTAACAGAACAAAAAAAACCAAAAACAAACAAAAAAAAACAAACCCAACCCCAAACCCCCAACCAAACAAACAAAGGTGCAGCTTTCTCCGTTACAGACCAAATGTAATCCAAAGAAAATGGCAGGAATGCTTGGCTAGAGACACTGGCCTCTTGCTGGAGGAAAAGGCTAGTTAGAAATCCCCAGGCTAAACCTCAGTGCGTCCAACAATTCGTTTTAAGGAAAACTTCTTTAAAAATACAAGCGCAGTGCGCGATTGCTTAGCTCCCATGTGCTGAACGCGTCCGAGAAAACAAACCTACAAAAAAAAAAAAAGGGGAAATAAAAAAAATGCAAGTGTTATTATTTGGGGGTGGGGGGGATAGGGCTGCGTTTTGGAAGGCTGCAGACTGTGCTAACGCGATTTCTCCCGGGGCTCTGCGGAGGCTCTTTCTCCCTAAACCTCTTCGCGGTTGCCAAACTCTTGCTTCATTCGTTTAGATTTCAATGGAGCCCGCTCGGCGGCCCGCTGCCCCATTCGTGGCGCGGTATAAAACCCCCACGGAGGATTGCATTGGAAGACCCGTCGAGAGTGCCAGGGCCAGAAATCAAGCAACAGATGGTGGCAGGGAGCGTTGCGGTTCCCAGAGCCCGGCGATGGCGGGGATCCCCGTGTGTTGTGTCTGTGCGCGGGGAGAGCTGGCCGGCGAGGCGTCCAGTTGCGCGGGGCACTTGATGTCCTCTCCCTGCGAGGAGGGTGGTTTCCCCGCTCTGCAACACGTTGTGGAGCTGGGCCGCGTGGGTAATGCCTAGAAGGGCTGGCCGCGATCCTTCCAAGCCTCATAAATCAAACTCTCTCTCTGAATGAGAATGTCATCAAAGAGATCAATTGCAGGAACACATGCACAAATAAAAACCCTCTTACGTATGTGCCGGGGCTGGGGATCCCCGTCTAAAACCATTAAGTTAGAAGGCGTTTAGTCATAATTCATTTTTATTGCTCTTTTAAAACAACAGCTTGGCTGGGCTGCGGGTGCGGCACACCTCTCCGGCCTGCTCCTGCTCCCTCTCCCTGCTCCGGCTCTCTCGGCCCAAAAGGGGCTCGCTCCCCCGCCTGGGGGGGATTTTAACTCCTGTTTAGCTGGACTCGTTCAGATCTCACTGCAGCGCTGTCCTGCAGGCACCCCGGGCCCGGAGGTGGCCACGTCCTAGTGAGAGATCGGCCGCCCTGAACCCTCTTCCCCGATCGCTTTGCAAATCAATACATCTCCGCGGAGCTCTTGTCTCCCGGGGAAGCCCCGAAACTTGCCTGGGCGCTGGGGGCAAAAGGGGGGGGGGAGGGCTTGAAATGGGGAGAGCCTCAGAGCGGCGCCTAGGGCACCGGGAGGACAGCGGTGCCTTGGAGATGCCCCCCTCGAGACTTCCTGAGATCTAGGGTGAGGCTGGGGGCGGCGGGAGGGGGAAGAGAGCTGGCATAGAGCCCTGCTCTGAAGGCTGGTCTCCATTTGCCCCTGCTCTGCCTCCCCCACCTCATTGTGCCGCGCTGGAGCAGAGACAATGTAACAAAAGGGCCGGATTTCTTCCCCACCGTGGCGAGGAAAGCGAGTGCAAGGCAGCCGGGCTGCGGCTGGGGTGTCCGGCTGAGAGAGGGACTTGGGGGGAGCAAGTGATGAAAAGCGGGGTAATGCCTGGGGTGGTAGGGGGGAGCCAGCTCCCTAGTAAGCGGCCCCTGTGGCTTGCCTCTGCCCTGATCTCCACCCAGCTGGGGCAGGCAGAGGAAAACGTGCCCCTCCAGCCCCTTCTGCAGCCACAGAGGCGGAGTGCAGGCCGCCTCGTGCATCTCAGGGAATCCCCCCCTTTCCCCTCCAAGCCAAGAGGTTTTAGTAACTCAGTGGCTCCAAGCGGCCCTGGCCCGTTCATGGCGGTGCGGGAAAGCAGCCCGGGGGGAGGAGGGCGGCTTTTTTGTGCCTGGCGGGTGGAAGGGA